CCCCCTCCCGCAGCTGGCAGAGTGGCTGCGCTCTCTTAGCATCCCTTTCGGGTGCCTGGTGCCCAAAGCAGAGGGATGCTCTGGTGCAGAGTTCCTGGGTGGCAAAGCAGCTGTGCACGCTCCCAGGGCACCTTCCGCAGCGTGCCCCTGCGCTGTCGGGCATCCCACCCCCGGGGACAGGGTGCAGGTCCCAGCCACTCTCACTGTGCACCTCCTCTTGCAGAGCTCCAGGGGACGAGGAGGCTCAGGCTGAGAACCTGATCACCTCGAACGGTAAGGTCGCCTGTCCCGTGCCGCGCGTGCTCTGCCACTGCTTCTGTGTTGCACTTGGCTGCCTGCGGAGCACGCAGCTCTGGGCAGGCGCTGCAAACCACTCTGCTCTTCCCTTTGCAGCAACGGGAGCACAGAAAGCAGAGAACTGAACGAGAGCCATGCGGTGAGTCCCGGGGCTGCCACGGACCAGCCCAGGCCAGCGTGGGTGGTGGCACCAGGGCTGTCACAGCCTCAGTGCTGGGAAGGAAGGGGGGGCAGCTGGGGCTGTGTAGGGGGGCAACTGCGGGGCTCCGAGTAGACCAGTCTGCTGGGACTGGGCAGCTCTGCATCCCCAGCACGGTGCAGGAACGAGCACTGGTAGGAGCTGCGGCAGGGAAACATGCAGTGCTGGCAAGGTCCTGGGTGTCCCGTGCTCAGCAAGCCCCAGGCAGCCCAGCAGGAAAAGGAAGCATCTGTCCGGATTTTCCCTTGCATTACGTTTCCTTTTCTTGTGCTCCTCCACCCCAAAGTGGTTTTATTTTTTGGGGCCTCTAGCGAGCTGAGTGCGAGTCCCCTGGGGCATCTCGCTGCTCGCCTACAGTCAGAGTTCCCCGAGCTCCTGGGCTGTGGCCTGCTTTTGGAGAGGCGGGAAATCTGGAGCCCGTGCTGGCGGGAGCGCGGTTTGCGCTGCTGGTGGATGAGCCCCGCGCAGGGAAAGGCAGTGGCGCTCCTCCCAGCCTGACTCACTGCTCTCCTTCCCGCGCAGACTCAGAGACCCGAGGACAGATGCTTGGACCGCAGATGCCAGTGGCCTGCGAGGAAACTGAAATCGCAGCAGCAGGTCCCTCTAAGGAGATGCGAAGCTGCTGTGTCTGTGTTACCCTCTGTACTTCAGCACCGGTTCTCTGTTTACTAACCCGACTAAACTCCGCTCACCGTCCTCCTGCCTCCAGTGGTGTGTAATGTTGATGTGAGATGATCATTACCTCTAGGGCTAGTCGTTGCTGGTGTTGTAATAGTGACTTTCTCTTCACCTTTCTCGTGCTGTGCGTGTGATTCTGGCTGTGTATGACTGGGAGGCGCTGCCCCTCTGGGCTGCTCCCCAAGCCCGGGAACGGGAGCCGCAGGGCAGGGCGGCGTGGGCTGCGGTGCACAGAGCCTGCTGCAGCCCCAGTGGAGCCCTGCATCCCCCCACCCTTCCCCGCACCCGGAGCCGGAGGCTCGTGGTTCACCCTGGCTGGCTTTGGGCAGGGCTCGGGGACCAGTCCCGTGGCGTTTTGGGGGCCTGCCAGCGTGACTCTGGACCGCGCGTTGCCGTTTCAGCAATAATCCTCCTGCACGCCCCCAGCCCAAAGGCAGCCACGAGATCCCGCAGCTTGACTGCCCTAGGCGGTGGCACCTGGGTGCTGGATTCAAGGCTGAAGGGAGCTCCCCTTTCTCGCCTGCTCGGCACTCTGTCTGTGGTTAAAACCTGGCTAAAACCAAGCCCCTGTGTGGGATGCTGTTTTAAATGTGAGGAAATGCTGCGCTGGCAGAGAAGCCCGTGAAATCCCCCAGCACGGGGACACTGTGAAAGAGGGCGGCTGCGCAGCGGTGACCCTGCTAACCAGCACAAAGCAGCTCCTCGCCAACGCTCTGCCTCCCCGTGAGACGGAGGTGGGCAGGTTAAACAGCCTCCGAGGGCTAAAGAGAAACACGGACTGAAATAAAGATCCCGTCCTTGCTTGTCTCCGGCAGGGAAGGGGCAGCGGCGTTTCCTCCTGGTGCTCGCTGCCCTTCCTGATGCCTTGTCGCTCCCTGTGCCGTGGTCCGGGACACAGCCACCCACGTCAGTGCTGCGTGTCGTCCCGTGGCGGTTACGTGTCATCAGCCCCCCGATGCCAACTGCCCCTTCTCCCTGCAGAGCAGCAGCGAGCGATGCTCAGGGGCTTTGCACGCCTGAGCTTGCACAGCGGCGACGCGCCGGCTCCAGAGGGGCTGAGCCCAGAGTCCATCATCTGGGTCCGCTTGTGGGTTAGAGGCAAATCTGTGAGTCTGGCCCTTCCCCAAGGCCGTAGGCATGCAAAACCGTGGCCTCAGCTGGGGCTGGGGACTGCCGGCTTGGTCGTGGGCGCTTGCCAAGGCAGGGTCAGCCTGGGCAGCAGTGGGGGATCCCCAGGGCTGCATTGAAACACATCAGAGTGCCGTCCGCGTGCCGGGAAGAGGTTCTTGTCCTCTGGGATGGTTTTGAGAGGGGTTTCTGCTATGCCCACCCCACCACGGTGGCCCTGCCTCCAGCGTGGGCTGTGTCCCTGTGTGCTTTGCATCCCTTGGTGGTGCTGGGAAGCACGCTCTGTCCCATCTGTGCAAGGCAGAGGGACCGTGTCTCCAGTACCCTGTCCCTTCCCTTCCCCGTGGCCATTGCAGAGAGCTCTGCTCGCCTCCTGCCTCCGTGCTACTCCACAGTCTTGGGCAGAGCAGACCACGCGCAGCCCAGCCCCTGAGTGTCAGCTGTGTGCGTGTCCCACGTCGGAGTGCCCGTGATGTCTGTAGTGTGCCGTCGGTGTTAACACGAAACAAAGAAATCCCTGTGGTGTGTAGAAATGGCAAAATCCCGACTGTTGTAAAATAAACTGAGCTATTGTGTTCCCTTTTAAATAGGCGAGTGTGCTGCTGTGGTGAAGGACTGGTGTGTTCTGTGCTGTGACCTAAGGGGGGAAAGGAATAAAATATCATTTCTATCGGTGCCTGGCTGCGTCGTCTCAAGGGCCGTGGCGTTTCCAGGGCTCGGGGGAAAGGCTGGGGGGAGCGGGACAGGGGCCGAGGG